TATGTCAAGGAAAACTACGCATCCCTGCAAGCCAACATTGGCACCCAGGGTGGGCGACTGGAGACTCTCTGGGTTAAAATCCATGGGGAACATGGCACAGGGGACACAATGGTAGGAGTCTACTACAGACCTCCTACCCAGGATCAAAAACTTGACCAGGAGTTTTCCAGGGAATTGGCCGAGGCCTCACACTCCTGGTGCACAGTTGTCATGGAAGACTTCAACTACCCAGACATCTCATGGGAAGAGTGCTTGGCCAAATCCAAGCAGTCGCAAAGCCGCAAAGCTCTTTCGTGCATGGATGAGCTCTATCTGACGCAAGATGTCTACGGGCCAACGAGAGGTAAAGCGCTGTTTGACCTGGTACTGGCAGCAGGGGGTGACCTAATCAGCAGCCTAATGATTGAAGGGAAGCTGGGTGACAGTGACCAGGAGCTGATCACCTTCACCATCCACCATAAAGCTGGCAAGTCAGTCAGCAACATCGAAGTTCTCGACTTCAGGAAAGCTGACTTTGACAAGTTCAGGAGGCTTGTCAGTGAGGCCCTAAGGGACCACGACCCAAAGGGGAGGGGAGTTCAGGATCATGGTTGATCCTCAAAGGAGTGATCCTGGATGCACAAGCTTAGTCTATCCCATCTCGGAGGAAAGGCAGCAAAAGGGCACAGCAGCCCCCTTGGCTCTCCAGGGAACTAGCGGACCTCCTGCATCTAAAAAGACATACCTACAAAGGATGGAGGACTGGATGCACCCCAAAGGAGGAATATTCTGCACTGGTTCGGACCTGCAGGGAGCGAACAAGGAAAGCCGAGGCTGTGATGGAACTTCAAGTAGCTACAAGTATCAAGGACAATAAAAAGTTCTTTTTTAGATATGTGGGGAGTTGGAGGAAAAGCAAGGGCAATATTGGACCCCTGCTAAACCAGATGGGACAACTGACAACTGACGCCCAGGAAAAAGCCAACCTGCTAAATGGGTACTTTGTGTTGGTTTTTCACCAATCCCATGGGACACCCCTGTCCGTTATGGGACAGGAAGGCTCGGGTGAGGGAGATTCCTTACCCTCCATCAAAGCTGACCTCATGAAGGAATACTTTGAGAGGCTGGATACCTTCAAGTCAGCAGGCCCTGACAGTTTACACCCCAGGGTACTCAAGGACCTGGCAAGCATCATGGCTCAGCCCCTGGCACAGATCTTTGAGAACTCCTGGCACTCTGGTGAAATGCCCGAAGACTGAAAGAAGGCTAATGTGGTGCCTGTCTTCAAGAAAGGGAGGAAAGTGGATTCGGCAAACTACAGGCCCATCAGCCTGACCTCTATCCTGGGGAAGGTCTTAGAAAAGATTATTAAGGAGGCCATTCTTAACAGACTGGCCGATGGCAACATCCTGAGGGATAGCCAGCACAGGTTTGTTGCGGGCAGGTCTTCCTTGACCAATCTTATTTCCTTTTATGATCAGGTGACCTATCACCTGGACAAGGGAGAAGAGATTGATGTCATATATCTTGACTTTAAAAAAAGCCTTCAATTTCGTATCCCATGATCACCTCTTAGCAAAACTGGCTAACTGTGGCCTTGGCCTCACTACGATCTATAGGCTGGGAAATTGGCTCCTTGGTAGGACCCAGAGGGCGGTGGTTGATGGAAGTGAATTGTTTGTAGTGCACAGTGACTATTCCGGTCCCTCATGGCTCTGTCCTTGGGCCAACACTATTCAACATCTTCATTAATGATGTGGACACTGGTATCAGAAGTGGACTGGCCAAGTTTGCTGATGACACCAAACTTTGGGGTAAAGCGTTCACACCTAAGGAAAGGAGGGTGATCCAGGCTGACCCTGACAGGCTCAGTAAATGGGTGGACAAGAACCTGATGGTGTTTAATACCGAAAAATGCAAGGTTCTCCACCTTGGGAGGAAAAACCTGCAGCATCCTTGTAGGCTCAGCAGTGCTACGCTGGTTAGCACTACAGATGAAAGTGACTTGGGGGTCATCATTGACCACAAGATGAACATGAGCCTTCACTGCAATGCTGCTGCTAGTAAAGCGAGCAAAATCCTGGCTTGCATCCATAGATGCTTCTCAAGCAAATCCTGGGACATCATTCTCCCGTTGTACTCAGCCTTGGTGAGGCTGCAGCTGGTGTTCTGCGTCCAGTTTTCGGCTCCATAATTCAAAAAGGATGTGGAGAAGCTTGTGAGAGTCCAGAGGAGAGCCACATGTATGATTGGAAGTCAGGAGAACAGACCTGATGATGAGAGGCTGAGAGCCATGGGACTCTTCAGCCTGGAAAAGCGCAGGCTCAGGGGTGATCTGGTGGCCACCTATAAGTTTATCAGGGGTGCTCACCAGGATCTGGAGGAATGTCTGTTCACCAGAGCGCCCCAAGGGATGACAAGATCGAACGGTCATAAACTCGTCCATGACCATTTCAGGCTGGACATAAGGAAGAACTTCTTTACTGTCCGAGCCCCCAAGGTTTGGAATAGACTGAAACCAGAGGTGGTTCAAGCACCTACTTTGAACACTTTCAAGAGACATTATGGACGTTTATCTTGCTGGGATCCTATGACCCCAGCTGACTTCCTGACCCTGGGGCAGGGGGCTGGACTCAATGATCTTTCAAGGTTCCTTCCATCCCTAATGCCTATGAAATCTATGAAAATTAACCTTTATAAAAGTCAGGAGTGTCAAGTCAGGTCTGGTCTGGTTTCACTGGAGAAACTTTAGGAAGACTTTGGGATGTTTACTGTGAGGTATGAGCACTTGAAATAACATAATGAAAACAATTTCTAAAATTCAAAATATTTAATCATTACATTTACAAATGTATATAGAAATTGTGGTTAATATTGACTAAAAATTCTCTCTCTTCCTTGACTCATATTTTATCTTTTTAGCTTTTCTGACATTACTGTATTTGTTAGGGCTGTGCGAAACAGCACCATTTCATTTCGGCTTCTGTTTCACCATTTCAATGGGACACTTTTGTTTCATTTCAAAAGCACTATTCCATTTCATTTTGTCAAAACTGTTTCGCTGTTTCAATGCTGTTTTGCCATTTTGCCCATAGGCTATAATGGGGAAGTACAAAACTGCCTATAACTTTGGCAGTTTTTGGCAGCAGGGATGGTAGCTCCTTATTAGAGTGTGAAGTCTGCCAAGTTTCAAGGAGACAGGTGTAGGGGTTTCTGGAAAACTTCACCTCAAAGTCTTGAAAGCAAAGCTCAAGTCACTTGTAAGTGTGAGGGCACAGAGAGATGAAAACAGCAGACATGGTAGCCCCTGATGAGGCCACAAAACCTGCCAAGTTTCAAGGAGATAGGTGCAGAGGTTTCTAGGAAACTGCACCTCAACATGCTCACAAGCAAAACTTGTGATGTCTGTGTGTGTGTGTGTGTGTGTGTGTGTGTGTGTGTGTGTGTGTGTTTGTGTGTGTGTTTATGTTAAGGTGTGCCCTCACTGGTGCTTGGGCCATGACATGGTAGTGTACGCCAATGAGGGCTCCTCCTCCCCTACAGCCTCAGTCTGGTCCACCACTTTAAATGACAACAGGCAATAACTTAGTAAGCAGCACAGTAGCACCAGCAGCATCTCAGGCAGCCAGTCACAGTCAATATCAGAGCAGTCCTTCCCCTCTCTTCCCCCTCCCTCTCCTTACTTTCTGTTTCCCTGCAGGCAAGCCAAGCTTCAGCTTCAAAACTTGAAATATTTAGAAACTTTCGAAACATTTCGACTGCCCTTGTTTCATTTCAAGGCTGTTTTGAAGCCCTTTGTTTCATTTAGATTTCACTGTTTCAAGCTTGAATGAGTTGGAACGGTGTTGAAATGAAACACAGCCCTAGTATTCATCCTCAGATTCCTTTGATCTTTCATATCTCTCTTCCAATACAGTCTGTTTCCTTTGGATGAATGATTCTTCCCATAATTAATTTTTATTACTGAACTTTTACATATATCCCTAAAAAGTACCTTTTTTCTAGATGCCATAAATTATTTTCATTCTAGCTCCCATTAGATAATTTAGTTTTGGGGTTCAGCAATTAAAAATGTAAACACTAATCCTGCCTCAAAACCTATTGGCACAGAGTCCTGCACTCTAGTGAGCCACTGATGACTGTATTGGGGCTAACACCAGTAGATCCTGTTGCAGTATCAGATTCAAAAAAGGTTAATTATCCCAGTTGTGAAAGAAGGGCTTGCCATTTCCTTTGGCTAACCCAGAAGAAAGAAAACCTAGAAATGACACTTGCTGTGCTCTTTAGCATGTCAGAACTAGATCTTACATTTTTTACTAAAGTCTAATGCCTTGTACAGTTTCATGGAAGTTTCATATGAGCACGAAGCCCCTAGTTATTACACATTCATCATTCAATGTGACATTTTTTGTCCACCTTACTGGGACAGAGGTCAGGACTGAACTCTCCGGGGTCCTGAAATTGCTTGGTGCAGTTTAAATGTAATTCTAAGATGTAAAGATGTAAACAGAATGCTTGGTTTTTGCAAGCTACTGCTGCAGGCTGAAGACAGCATTGATAAATGTCAACCTCTTTCAAATGAAGGCATTTACTTTCTTCAGAAAGTGGTATTTTGGACCAGTGTCCTTCATATTCCTTCTAGAGGCAGTGAGAACAGGTAGTGAGGGGCTGTGCATTGGCACAAAGCATCCACTTGAAGAAGACCCATTTCCTTTTGTATCCCATTGCACTTTTTTTACATGGTGAGAGGAAGAGGGCAGGTGGAGCTGATCTCCTATGGGTACCATACTGGGTCATGCCACAGATCCATCTAGCTCAATAGTTTGTGTCACTGTGGTGCAATCAGTTAGTGTATTCTGCTGTTAAGGGAAAAGTTGGTGATTCCAGCCCACCCAGAGATGGGGTCAGATGCTTTTGGTGCTGTATCTCACAGTGACATACAGAAGATACTGCAGAGGGAGAGTATTTATGCATGGTCTATACATTTTAATTTGTTTCCTGCTCCTCTTTTACAGCTTCCAGAGTTTTGTCCCATGAATTCCTAATGTGGAGGTTGCAGGCGTATGATCATATTTGCTATTGTGAATTACTATTAGCATAACTGGGAACAGGGCAGAAAGAGGTATGGAAAAGACAAAGTAAAACTAGAAAAAGTAAGACTACTGAATAATGTGGGGGGGTGTTGTTTGTTTCATTTTTAATTCTGGAAGACTGCCTATTTTTCCTACAACATAATTCTCAGAAGTGGCTGCAATGTTTGTCAACAAAACTTTAAAATAACATATTCAGAAGATTCAAATGGTTACAGTTGTATGAAATGATGAGAAGGAGGTTATGAGAGGAAGACTTTGAAAACCTGATGTGGCAGCTGCTGTTGTTCCCACTGTAATACAGAGCAGTGAATAAATGGATGAATTTTCTTGCCACCATCTAGTAAATGAATCCTATTTACTTCTCCAGGAAAGAGTAGGTCTAGTGACTACAACATAAATCAAAATTTAACATACTAGAAAAGAGGCTGATGTTTTCTACAGATCTTGGACAACTTTTATTTGAAATTATAGGTAAGAACATGGGAAGGTAGAGCTGAAACTCTCACATTTCTATTTTGCTTTCTCACTGGGGTGCTCTCTGATTACTGGTTTTAATAGAGGAAATTGGCTTTGCTTCATTTTGAAACTCAATTTGTGACCCTGTGGGCCACTTTATACTGCAGTCATGATAGTGATACTCAAGTTAGCTTTAAATTAGCTAGCTTGAGAACCAGTAGCAGTGTAGCCATAGCAGCTTAGAGCTCAGTAGCCATATCTACATGTGCAGTTAATTTGCAGCAATAAACTCTGTTACATATCACACTGGAGTTTATTGCTCCTGGGCACATCATTTGAACGTTCACCTGGGACTACAGCATGTTGAGCTGGGTTGGAGCAGCCCTGGCTGGCAGGGAGTCTTGGGGTCAGCCTGCCAGCCCAAGAATGCTCCAACCTGACTCAATGTGCATGGAGGGCCTGGCTGGAGCATGAGGGTGCTTTAGTGTGAGGCTAGCCAGCAGGCACCCCAACACTGAAGTATTTTTGTACCCCAGCCAGCCAGGTCAGCATCTACACATGTGTTGCTGTGCATTAAAAAACTATTTTGCAGGATAGGATTTATATTTACAAGTATTAACCTGCTGTGGAGTTAGTTAATTTACTGTGGCCTAATAGGGCAGCATGTGTAGATGCTAAGATGTTTACTTTGGGGCTAATTAAGCAGCTCCACAGTAAACATCATGTATATATGCGCCCAATGGGTACCAGTTTACTTAGTGACATGGCAGAGCAAATTAGCCCATACTGAACACCCTACTGCCATATCTAAACTATCTCAAGAACCCAGGATAGTTTACATCTTACAGGACTGTAGACAGCCCTTGTTTCTTTATACTAACACCAAAAAAAAAAAGGGAGAGCCATAGAAGAAATACTAGACACCAAACTACGCAGAGTCACATGGTTAAGTTTAAGACAAAACAGCTCAAGGAATTCTTGGGGATTTTTCCTTAGATTTCTTTGTGGTAGGGGCATATATTTGTACAATGACTAGCACAAAATGTACCTACTGCAATACAGAGCTATAGCTACCACTGTATATGCTACCACAGTACAGAGTTGTAGGATAATTTCTACCAGCATGGAAGTGTGTGCAGTCATAGAACACGTTTCTTTCCTGTGGCTGCATATGTCACAACCTTTACATTCCAGCTTTTTCACAGAAGGATACTGTAGAGCTTGCACATGTTTCAGAAAATCCAATTTTGACTGTTGGCTAGAACTTCAGAGACTCCTGTATAAGCCCAAAGGAAATATATGGTGGGGAAGGTGGGGGAATGAGCTATTTTCTTTGACCTACTCAAGAAGTGGAGGAGCCATCTTGGAACTTGAACCCAAGCCATGTGGCAATATACTATGACATGTATTTTATCTATCAGAGTTAAAAGGAAGCACTGCCTCATCATTAAAGTTTCTTAGGTACTTGCATACCTTTTTTGCACCTTAGTGTCCAAATGCCTGGCATTCTTTAGTGCATTTGGCCTTACAACACATCTGTGAGGTTAGAAAAACCTGTTAGTGTGGTGAGCTATGATGGTTTAAAAGCATTTTACAGCCAGATGAACTACACATCATTTTGTGAGAGGTAGTACACATTCCCAGTTCACACTTTACAGAATAGGATGGGAGGTCCTGAGAGATTAAATAATTTTACCCAAAATTATCCAGAATGTTTCCAGGAAATTGCATCCAGTTCTAGACTCTACATAAGTGAAAGAAGAAAAGGTAAAATGCATCAGTTCTGGATGAATTAAGTGGATGGATATGATACACAAATTGCTACAGCTGTCTTTATTTCCAGGTCATTTTTTTCAAATTTGCTCCTCACTTTCTCACTTCCATGTGCTTAGCAAGAACAGAGCGACAGTAAGAAGGGGGGAAGGGGCTGTAGGGGGAAGCAGTTGTGGGGAGCACAGGGCAAAGGGGCTATCTGCTTATTTGACTTGCTTATTCACCCCAGACTTATTTGACCTGCTGTAGCAGTGAGAGATTGACAAATTCAAGACAAATTTCCAGTAAGTAGATTCTATACTTGGAAAATTAAATTTTATTTATGGAAATTTCCCATATATAGAATCTAATTATTGTGGGCCTGTCTTGTATTCAAGTAAATACAGGAATATATCTACAAATACTTGAATACTGAAGAATAAAAATAATTCTTTAGATGGATAAATGTAGCTAGTAGTAGTAGTCTGAGGTTAGGAAAGTGAGAGCTTCCTTTCTAATCATGTCAAATTGCAGTCAGCCATGGGGTTTCCAAGTAAGTAGTCGGGAACCTCATCACAATTAGGACATTTAGAACTGGAGTCAGAGACCATAGAAAATGGTAATAAACCTGCATCACTAGAGACAGAAGTAATTCGTCCTTCTCACTGCAATTCCATTGATTTGTGCTTATGTAAGCAAGCTTGCAATATAGTAGGAGTGAACTCAGGTTCAGAGTCATGACAGTCCACACAGCAGACTTTTATCTTTCAGAGAAAGAAGATTAAAAAAATCAGTACTCCCCGCTCTTCTGACATGATCATCACATTCAGTGATAAGAAGGGAAATGGGATGCTGAAGAATCCATCTTTGAGGTTCTTTCTTCCATTCACAGTAGTAGGAAAAATGAATGACACCACAGAAAAGGCATCAGAAATTCCGTTACTGGCTTCACCAAATCTTGAAAGGAAAAAAATATTCAATATTAGCAGCTCGTTCAGACTACTGAATATCAGAGACTGCTTCAGTGGCTTTCTGACCACCTTGAGCCAGTGCATGAATTAATTCTAAAGTGTGGAAAATAAGAAAGCACTGTTGTTTATCCTTTCATTTCTTACACAGGTAGGATCAGAAAATGGGGAAAACCTGCAGAACTAAGTTGTTGCTTATGCCAGCTGGTCTACACATAACAAAGAACGCCCGCCCGCCCCCGCCCCCCCCCATAGTCTCCTTTCTGACATGATTAAATCCTCAGAACTTGTCCCTAGTTTTTTTTCTGCTCATACTGACTTCCAAGGGGAAACACGCAAGGGAGATGCAGGGGAGGGGCCCTGGATGGTCAAGGGTGGGACTTGATAAGCCAGGGGGCAGAGTCAGACAGCAGTTCTGTCTCTACCCATCCAGGGACTCTGTCATATGGAGCTGAAGGAACAGAGAAGAGAAGGGGAAAAAGGGGACGTGCAACAAGAGAGTATGTGCTGCTTGCCAGCTGGTTTCAGGTTTTTCTGCATTTTATTTCTGTCTCTTTGGAATCTTCCTTTTCAATTAAACTAGCTAGTCAATGTGTTTGAAGTAGCTTTGCCTACAAAAGCTGGTTAAAAAACCTCTGCTAGTAGCACCAGTCTGTATATGCTTAGACACTGTAAAATGAGTGAAAATATTTCTAATATTTGTTTCATTTAAAAGCCTGTTGTGGATTGGGTGGGCTGAAAGGTTTAATGTTTTATGTTTGCCTTTGCTTTTCAGCACTAAGGGACCTGGCTAGTGAAAATGAAATTTAGAAGGGTTTATCTATCAGCAGCGTGATTAACAAAGATCCTCCCTTCTCCCTCCTTTCTCTGTAAATGTGTCAGAGAACAAAAGCAGTTAGCAACAAGTTTGCTACTCTGTGTAAACATTTTGTATAATAACTGGAAAGAGGGCTCAACTTAGAAGCATCAGATGGCACTTTATCTACTCATTCACTGAGACCTTTGAGCAACAAAAAGTAAGATCCATTTGATAAGGACCAGGAGATGAAAGCTGAAATTCTACGTTTAAATTATTCCCTGATTCTGAGGTTATAGCAGATCATATTGTATGTTCTGACTGTCTTTTGAGAGAAGACCAATCACCTATAATTCACAGATATGAAATATATTTGAATGATAGTCATAATTTTGGCTTTAGTTCCAATAGTTCCTTGCTTTCATGAGGTTAAATGAAATCTGTAATGTTACATATATACTTGCTCAAGTGTGACAGTACATTTTTAAACAAGAAAGTTTTTCATGGACCTCTGTAAAAGATGAGGTAATTAGAAATAAAGTTCTTGTTTGGAAAGCAGGCTGCTAGCACCTTTGGAACTGTTATATTCTGATATAAAAATATGTTTAGCTTCATGTTAGCATTATTAAAGTGCAGCCACTCAAGTCTTTCATGTTGATTTACAGGGGCTCAAGTCTCCATACCATTCCAGCAAGGGACTTCATTTAGGTCTATGCAGTTACTAGCAACGTAAAGCTTTTGTAGAAAAGCATGGAATTAGACTGGATCTTTCTTCTAACAAAGCGCAACATAGATCTTCCAAGAATCATTTGGAATTAAAGGAACATATTCAGGTTCCCATCCTAATTTTTATATTTGAGCATAACTCTTACTAAATGCTGTTGGATCTACAGCTGTGGGACAGGGCCCATATGTGCCTGATATGATTCTTTGCCAGTCTCAAAAATTTCCTAGAATGTAGACTTTCTAGCCAAGTTGTCCATGACAAAGTGCTGTCTTTGAAGTCTACATCCACTGTGTTCCAGATATAGCAAGCATGTAGTCAGTTTGTAGGATGTCAGAAAACAGAGGAACTGATGTATCCACAAATATTGCAGCTGTCTCTCAAATGAAGGGCACTGCTGTAGTCAGCAAATATGAAAGCATACAATAGAATATATTATGAGGAAGGGACAGTGCTTCTGTTCCTCATAACATACTGTTTTAGTAATATTTAAGTTTGTTTTTTACTAGCTATGACATTGACTCTATTTTCCATTCCCCTCAAAAGTCTTACCCTTATAGCTTTTCTAGCATCTAATTACTTATTGTGATTCAATTTAATATATGCTTCTGATTTAATTTCAGAGGCTCTGAGTGACAACAGGTGACAGGCTGGCAGCTCATACAGTTGTGCCAGAGAGGACTTCCATGATAACAGCAGAAAGACATCTTATCAGTTGCTGGAGAACACCCAGGGAAGAAAGGACATACAATACCCTCGTTTATGATTTTAAATATTGATCAAGGTTAGCAATACCTGTGCTCCATTGTGGAATGTCCTATGGCAATGGTGAAACTGGTGGGCACCCTATGTTTAATCTTTGCCATCAAGTTCAATGCTCCAGCTCCCAGTTAGGTAGTCTGAATGGACATAAGAAATCTGCAAGATTTTTGGAAGTGAGAGGGAACTTAAACAACATGCAGTATTCTTCAGTGGCAATGGATCCAGATACCATGATGAATAATGGATCAGGAATTCCTTGCAATTCTGAGGAAGATGGAAAGGATCCAGCTTTGACAGGAAGCGAAATCCACAAAGCTTACACAACTAAATGTTTCTATGGCCCTTATTTAACTAAAACTAGTATGCAAGGGGATGTCTACAACTTCCTGGAGAGGCCTAGTGGATGGAAGTGTTTTATTTACCATTTTACTGTGTAAGTACCTACATTTTCACTTAATTCTGTTTTAAGACTTACAGAAGATTGCATTCATTACAAGAAACTAGAGCATTAAGGGTTGGCAATCCAGTCATATGAGTAACCCCACTTAAAATCACTGGATGTAATTCTTTCCAAAAAATATCAGGCATTGCACCTATTAGTATTTTTAGTGAATGTACAGTCTTTTACTTTAACATGTGTCTTGTCTTCCAAAAAGGGTGTTTTTTTTTCAAATCCTTGCCATCTCTAAGGCAAAAACATGTCTAATACTATTACAGTTACTGAAATTGCTGAATTTATTTATGCTGTTCCAACTGCAGACCTTCTCACAGTTAGACAAGATGTCAGCAATCTAATAGTCAGATAACTTGAAGTGTACATTGACCTCCCTGCAGTTGCAAAAATTACTTCAGGTCATTTCAGGCCAAGTACATTTGTTGTGACACATCTAAATTCAATATGTGTAATGTCAACTTGAATTACCTTGACGTAATTACCTATTATTTGTATTAGATGCAAATTTAGCAACAAGGTATTTATTTCATGACATCTGTAAGTAGACACTGGGCGTGCCTACATGAGATGTTTACAGTGAAGTTGATTACTTAGCTGTGCAGTAAATGTTGTGGCATCTACACATGTGCCCCTATTAGGCTAGAGTAAACTGATTTACTCTACAGCCAGATGGATGTTGGTGGGGCTGGCTGGGGCATAAGGGTGCTTCAGTGAAGGACCTGTCTGGTGGCTTACCCTGTGCTGAAGCTCCCTCATGCCCCAGCCAGCTCCTCTGTAGCATGTTGAGCCAGGGGGGTAGCCCTGGGCTGGCAGTCTGACCCCCGCCGCCCCTGCCAGCTGGCTCAACATGCTGTGATCCCAGGTGCATGTGCAGATGCATGCCCAGCTTGAATAAACTCCAGAGTTTATTGTTCCTGGGCACACATTCAAATAGTATGCCTGGGAGCAATAAACTCTGGAGCTTATTGTTCATGCACAGTAATAGCACATGTAGATGCACCCACCAAAAGGAAATTAAGGGTAAAAGGGTTATTAATAAATGAATACAGTTATTAATGTTTTGTTTGAGCTGCTTGTCATGTCCAACAAGTATTAGAAGGCTGTGTAATAGTAACTATAATTCACATTTCACTTTAGTAAGGATTTGAGTGTGTTCCCCTTTGAAATGAGTGGGTCCACTCACTACCAACTGCAGTGAAATTAGGGTTGAGCCCAAAGTCTTGTTTTTTACCAGGCATAGACTGAAGAATACATAATTTATTATAGAAGAAAACAGAATTTTGTAGCTCTTGTGTTTTCCTAGGCACTTCCTTAGGGTCTGATTACATTCATTACTTTGGCAAAACTACCACTCATTTAAAGGAAGGAGTTTTTGGAAAAGAATAAAAATGACAGAGCAATGATTTTAAAAAATCACAACAAACCATAATGCCTTTGTTTGGCATAAAACAAATGGTCCTATTAATCTTTGTTTCCTTTCTCCATCAAGATTCTCTTGGCTTTTGTAAAAGGATGTTTTGATTCATGAAATATTGCCAGGTAAAAGGATAGAGCCTCTCTCAAGGACTGACTTACAATTTATAATCACACCTAAGGCTTGAACAGATTTTATCTGGATACACTTATATATGTGACTTATCCTGGTTTAAACCTATTAGAGGCTAGAACTAATTAGTTTTATGTATCTGAGAGTTGAAATGCAAGTGATGAGAGAAAAAAGACTGACTTTTATATTTTACCTTTTTCAATATGATATTTTTTAGCAGATAGGGAAAAAACCCAAAGTATTTAATCTTTTTAGATGCATAAAGTACATCTGACAGTCACTTACTTTTTCTCCATGTTTAAAAGATTTTCACAAAGTAGTGCTTAAAAAGGAAACTTGTTTTGATTCTTTTGAAAAATAAGTTGCATTTACCTAGCTAGATTCATTAGTTCCATTTAAGTATCTATCTAAATTCTTTAGTTCTGATAAGATCACATTATATATACATTTATATAACAATGATAACTATGATCTATAGGTATATTATACAATAGTATATGTGATTGAAGGGGATGAAATTATTACATGAATAAAATTATCAAAAAATAAAATGCAATAATTGATTTTAAAATTAAATTAAGTTGTTATCTTATGAAACTTTTAAAAAAGTTACATATTTCATTTGTGCATTACAGGGGTAATACATTAGGAATGAATCCACAGGTTACGTGGATTATTCTTATACAGGTCAGTCGCATGTTATGCAGGGGTTACGTTCTGAAGTCAGGGTGTAAGGCGAAAATCGTGTATAGTCAAATCGCGATTACTGTGCCAGCGATTTGACTAGTGGTGACTGCCTCTGCCTCCAAAACATCTTGCTGCCGTTGCGGAGCCGTGCTTAGAGCTGTGTGGCTGGCAGTAGCGGCACAGCATGGGGTGGTGGTGGGGATGGCTGCGCGCTGCCTGGCCACCACCATGCTGCCACTGTCGCCCAGCGGCCGGCCACACCACGTGCAGACTCAAGCCCCGTCCTCCCCCCCCCCGTGTATAGTTGAAGTCGCGCAAGTTAAATGCGTGTATGATGCGACTGACCTGTATTAATAAATCACGTCTTGTGTATAATTTTACCCTTTGGAATAAAGCTGGTGGTGTGAAGCGGGAAATTGAACACACAGCTTCCATTAACCCTCCCCTAGTCTTCCACATTACGTAATAAGAATATAACTCATTTGAAAACCGGTGGAAAGTTTTTATTTAAATAGGATGGGAGCTGGGCATGACCTGGTGCCACAGTTCATCTGTGAAAATGCATTTAACTATGAGAAAAGGCATGTAGTATAACAACAAATTTGGTAGGACTTTTGTGTTTTGAAAAGACCAAGATCTCTGTCTCCTGTAATATTTGTATCCTTAATATCTTTAGCTTCCTTTTAAGGGAAAAATGATGTGCTCCATAAACTATTGTAACAGTCTTCAAATACCTGAAGAGCAATTATAGAGAGGATGGAAATGGACTTTTTTCTGTGGGGCTGTGTACAGACATTCTGGGAAGTTTGGGAGAGGTTAGATCACATTAAAAAAAGCCACCTGATCTAAAGTAAATCAGGATGAGGGTGGTGGGGGCTAACAGAGTGTGTTGGGAAGATCAGGGTCGCAAACAAACTCTGTCAAAGGATCGGGGGGGGGTTGGAATGGGGAGGGGCAAGCATGACTGGGGGGAGGGTTGCTGGAGGGTTTGGTGTGATTAGAGGCACTCGCAGGGTCCACAGAGAGGCTTGAGGGATCGGGGGGGTGGGCTCTCTCCCCCCACCCCCTGGGACCAGGGGCTATTTTTAGCCCCCCAACCCCCAGACAAGCAACCCCTCCAGTGAACCTACCAGTGAATCCTAACCCATCCCTCCTATCTCTCCCACAATCTTGACATACTTGCTCTACTCCCAGCATCAGTGAATGCAAATAAAACCAGCACCAGGAGCAGCTTGCAGAATGTGGGGAGGGGCTTGGCAGGCTCTGGGGCATTGGGAGGACTGGCTGGTCCATGAGGATAGTTATCTATCTGGGGCTGGGGTAATAAAAATTGCCAGTTTCAGAGAGGGAGGAGAGAGGAAAAGTGCAGGCTCAGGTCTAGGGCCGGCAGCTGGGCTTTCCCAGTCCTAGGACTATGCTAGGAACTGTACAGAAGTTCAGTTAGATCAGTCTTGCCAGACCCAAGCTAAGTTAGACTACCTTGAAGATGCACTTAATTTAGATTAGGTTGACCATTTTTAGACCACTTCAACTGTCCTGAAGCTCTGTGTGGGTTTAACATAGGTCCACCTAAGTAGTATTAGGTTCATATCTAAGCAAATTAAGTTAGATCAGCTGGCCATGTTTAATGCAATCTAACCTCCCCCTAACATCTACAAATATCTGTACACAGTCTTGCTGTAGGGGCAGGACTAGGAGCAGTGGCCTCAAACTGCAGCATAGGAAATTTAGGCTGGAGGTTAGGAAAAACTTTTTGACTACCAGGGTGGTCAGGCATTGGAACAGACACCTAGAGAAATTGTGGAATCTCCATCTTTGAAAATGTTCAAGATCAGGTTGGGCAGACACTTGGCTGGGATGGTTTAGTCAGGAATGATCCTGTCTTGAGTAGAGGGCTGGACTAGATTATCTTTAAGGTCCTTCCAGCCCTATTTTCCTATGTTCCTATGATCTTATGTGTTAGAAAAATTACATTATTAATTATTAAAATCCCAAATAAACTTGATTTCAGGGAAGTCATTCCATGTATACACTGGTGCAACTGAATTAAGATTTTTCCCTGAAAAAAAACCTGTTTTGAAGGTAGGTTTTTAAAAAATTAAGATATCTGAATCCTGAAAATCTTTCGACACTGACATTGTTTTCACATTCATTAGAACTCCTCAGGTCAAGCCTGAAAACCCTCTCTCATAAACATTGTAATTGCTTGTATTTGTAGACAGAAGTAGAGGGGTAGTAGAGAAAACTGATGTGCAATATGTAGTGTGTCAGTTACATTTTTTGGCTGCTGCTGAAGTGCCTTAAATCATTGGATTATTGGGTATCAATATAGCTTAGAATCCAGCTGTTGACCATATGGTCCTTCATTCAGAAAAAGGATTGTGTGCTTTGCTTCAATTAGATTTTTAAACTCAACTATTCACTCATTTAGATGTCATATACATGCCAAGATGATACTGCTTCATCCTCAGACTTTGTCTTAAGAATTAGACATGAAATGTGTGATTTTGAAACGCTCTATTTGACACATTTTCCCATTGAATGTAAATTCATTTTAAAAGACTGAGGCATCTTGTTTTTCCCTTCATGCACCAAAGCTTTACTTTTTGCCTTCTGTATTACATTCTACTCTAAAAATGAAAAAAGCTATTTAATTAAATCTACACAAATTCACATAGATTCATTATTTAAATTAAGATTGGATGCTGTTTGTGTGTGGCTTCCTGATTTTTTTTATTAGTTTACA